AACTCTGTTGCTCGAACTTTATTTGGGTGGCGACAACAAGTCATATTAATTGCTCAAAGGAATGAAGGAATTTCTAGCCGCAGATCACTTCAAAGCAGACAGTAATCATCGTTTCATGATTTAACGATTCACTTAATTCCATCTTAAGATCAAGCGGAGCCAGGATTTTGATCTACATCAGAAAGATTTTAGTCCTTTTGGAGGATTACACGCCTCCAGGAGTTTTAATCTTAATTCTTTAATTATTACACCAGTTTACATTTTCATCGATTCTTTCCGTTGCTAAAATAGATAAAAAATTCCACCAAAACTGACAGAACAAGTCTGCTGTGTTAGTGACGTGAATGCTTCTTGGCTGGACAAGAACATTTCCAAATATATTATATTTTTTCCGCATACAGCTTCACTGTCTGAAGAATAATTCTATCTATCAAATTATCCCCATAAATTCAGGAAAAATACCGGCCATATGCTTACCCCCCGTTAGTCCAAGTCCAAGCCAGATTTCGGCTTGACATCTGTCTCCAACGCTTTTGAGACTATGTAAACAGCAGATGGGATAAAATTCAGCTAAGTTACGGGCCAAAATCTGATGAAGTGTGCGTTGATTAAGTCTCTCAATTAAAAATTCTAAATGAATTAGCTCCCTACTAAACTGTATTGGTGCTGCAGGGAGCCATAGTTGCTGCAAATAACAAATTCCTAGTCACTGTATCAATTGTTTGGTAGATTCACCCATTCATAACGGTCATGTGTTTCTCATAGTGGCAAACTCCCTGGTTGGTAGCACTAGAGGCAATAAAATTAACTACCTTCTGCTTTTGAAAGCTATAGCTACTTGAAAGTTTATAATAAATTATGGGGAGTGTTTACAGAACATTCTGTTTTCTATGCCTTGTACGTACTTTGGACTTATGCTATTTATTGTTTATCTAAACTGAAAATAAAAATGTCAGATCTAGACTGTCTTAAGACTTTATATTAACTAAAGGGATGGCCAAATCGTTATGATATGCTGGTTAATAGAATTTTGTGTGATTTTGAGGTAACCACTTCGAGACCCGGCGGTAGCCGATGTCCAAGTGGGTTCGGATGTTTTAGCACCTCGAACGGCCGTCCTACGCATCAAAGTTCGCTTTGTAGAGTCATAGAAACAAATTTTCTTGGTGTATCATTGCATTCTGTGTGTAAATGTGTGTGTCTTCTCTCACATGGGCAAGCATAAACATCTCCATCGAAGGCACGATAGGATGCTAGCGGAAACGCGAATGACCCGGGGCAGAAGAGGAGATACCACAATTGTTTAGCACACGTTTGGTCAAAGGATCGGCTTCACTTGTCTCT